GGTAGAGTAAGAATCAATCGTCCGAGCATTGATTCTGCAGCGTATTTTACGCTTCATGCATTTTGCTTTAGCAGCCTGAAAGCATATGGCATGCACTGAAGGGGTACGCGGCTATGATCACCACCAACAACAACGCCGGATGACGAGAGAGATCTCTTTCAGGCCTTCTGGGGATTTCAGGCAACGAGTTCCAATCACAAAAATCTGCCACAGAGAATTTGACATAGGGACTTGCCATACCACTGCAATGACTTGCTGATTTCTGCTGCCGAGATCTGACTGTGAGGTTGTATAGTCGTGTCTTAGGGTCAGATTCGTAATGTTGTTTGTGTCAGGGACTAACCGTGAGTTCAGTTTGAGGGAAATCCAGGAGGGACAGATCTGTAAATCTGGAAAAATTACATTTCTAGTAGTACCCCGAATTTCCTCTAGTACCCTCACAGGGCCTCACTGCTTCCAGCAGTACCGGGCGATCACTAGGACAGCAGGCCCAGCGGGCCTTGGGCTGTAGCGACGGTCTCACGCCGTATAGCCGGATAGGGTCCAGGACGAACAGGCCAAACTGAAACGCTACCGGTCCCAGTAGGTCTAGGTCTAGAGGAGGTCAGTCTATTAATAGGACTGAGCCGGTAGTTTAGGGACTTTTGGGCTGTTCATTTTGGGGACACAGCGTTTGGAGCCAAGCAAGTTGGTGGTGGTGCTTGTCTACAGGCGGCATCCTGAGATTCTCTCCGTGGACGGCAGTCGTAGCCAGCCTGGGGCATCCACGGAGCATCTACCCCTGAGGGTATCTACGTTTGGCTGGGCTATACTAAGGCTCTTCATTGAGTATTCGTGGGTGGACCACTGTCGGCCAGCTCTCCTCGGGAGTTACCAGGGCTCTATCGGTGGTGTGGCAGCCATAGCTGCCAGCTTCTTCGGCAGAGTTGTTCAGCGGCGCTGAAGGCTTCATCGCAGCTCCTGTTCTCTATCTGGGCGGTTGGCGCTGGCCTCTGGGAGGCCATTTCAGGGTTGCCCTACTAACTTGGTGTAGGATAGAGAGTGGTGTGTGGAGTGCTGAGGGTGGCGAGATGCTGGAACAAACTCTGTAACGATAATTGGTTTGAGTTGGCCCATCATCAGTGTGAATCCTATTGTTATCCTCACAGGTGTCTTCTTGTGATTGGTTGGTGGGAGTTTCGTCAGAGAGCGAGAAACAGTGTGTGTCTTTTCCCCATTTGTGCATGCTTGTATTCCACTGCCTATTTTGATCTGTGTACAGTTTGGAATCTGTCTCCTCTCCCCTTCGTCTTATGCATGTATGGGTGTGTATGAGATTGTCTGTGTGTGAGTGGCGGTGAAAATCGTCAGACAACCAAGTTCATAACAGTTGGTATCGGAGCTGGTTTTTAACTTGGTTGTCTGTCGATTTTTACCAACACTCACATGCAGACAATCTCACGCACGCCCATACATGAATAAGAAGAAGGGGAGAGGAGACAGAGTACACACTGCACACAAACATAGTAAGCAGCGGAAAAGCACTATGCACAGGTGTGGAGATAACACGAAATATTTCCCACTCTCTGACAGTACTCCCAACAACCAATCACAAGTAGACACCCGCGAGGATAACAAAGGAACAATCTGAGATTGAGCCGATCTGAACCAATATCATATACAGAGTTTGTCCCAGTGTCTCGCCACTCACAGAACCACACGCTCCACTCCCTATATGACACCCAGTTAGTAGCACCACACCACATCAGTCTCCCAGAGGCCTGCGCCAACCACCCAGATGAAGAACAGGAACTGCGATGTAATCCTCAGTGCCAATGAGCAACTCTGACGAAGAAAGCTGCAGCTATGGCTGCACCGCCACTGTAGACGCCACACACAATCTTTGAGGAAGATGCAGCAACAGTGGTCCACCCACGAATACCATGTAGAGCCTCAGAATAGCCCAGCCGCTCGCAAGCACACCCCACGGGTGGATGCTCAGAGGACGCCCCAGCTATGGTGAGCTCCAGAAGGCTGGCTATGGCTGCCGTCCACGACGAGGGTCTCAGGATGCCGCCTGTAGGCAATCGTCTCCACTGTACTTGCTTGGCTCAGAATGCTGTTGTGCGAAAGATGGAAACAGCCAAAAGTCCTAACCCTCGTGACCTAGATCTATTAATAGACTAACCTAGACCTAGACACGGACTGGACCGACTGGTACTGTTTCAGTTTGGGCCTCTAGGGCCTCTACCTACCCGGCTATAGGCTCTCATGCTACGGGCCTAGGCCCTAGGGCCTCCCGTCCTAGTGATAGCCCGGGCCTGCTATTCGCAGTGCGGTCTAAGGGAACTGCGGGCCTGTAATTGTCCCGAAATTGCAGATATGTCCCTCACGAATTTCCCTCAGCACTGAACTCTCGGTTAGTCCCTGACACAAACAAACTTACGAATCTAACCCCACCGCTGTTACTGTACAGCCTCGCAGTCAGATCTCAACAGTCAAAATCAGCAAGTCATTGCAGAGCCTCCATCCGGCCCTGTCTGGATGCCACGCACAACACTACAAAAATGGCCAAATATTTTTCCACGGTGGCCCATAATGGAAGAAAACGACCTTGGCCGCATGGAAAAAAATTGGGCTACGCCCCGTTTCCCCACCATCCAGACCAGGATCCGGACTTTGGACAGTCCAGATCCCTGTCTGGGTGTCCGGATCGTAGCTATGGGTATATCACCCGTGTTGAGAATTAAGTGTTACCTCTCTCTCTCTCTCTCTCTCTCTCTCTCTCTCTCTCTCTCTCTCTCTCTCTCTCTCTCTCTCTCTCTCTCTGTGT